TGAGCTGAATACAAAGTGTATTTCATTTCGGTCTTTGCAAATGCATACACGCATGCGCGCGCAGGGGCATAAAGGTCTGTGAACTGTTGTGCCCATGTGAGACTACCACCTCCTCCCTGCCCCGTGGGATTTCAATTAACACCAAATGCTTTCATTCATTGGATTCGCAATGAACATCTGTGTAAAAGGAACAATTCACCCCCCCCCACACACACACAAACACAAACACAGAGATCCTGGTGTGTGTGTGTGTGTGTGTATTCCTGTAAATACCTGAATGAGTGTTTAATTTTTAAACAAATTGTTCAGGAAAGTTTTGAGCTTATTCGTTCGCGGCAGACCAACCGAATTTTGCACCCAATGGTTTGAACAAAGTGCCGAATTGATAACCTACTCATTCGGAAAGAAATCACAAATAATATTTTGTTTCTCAATCTCTATGATTCTATGTGTTTTGCAAGCGATTCGTAATAATCTCCTAACATCCGAAGTCTGAGTGATAGTTTTCCAAATCCAAATGACAGTTTCTCAAATCAAACATGAAATGGTGTACAAAGGTTACCTGGGTTATACTTCCGTCGATCACTGCTTTTTAGCCTGAGCATCGTCTCATTTGCTGAAAAGCAGTTTCATCTGACCTGGTGGGTGTTTTGAAACTGTTAAAATGGTTGACGGTGGGGGAAACAATTCATAAAAAGGATGTTGACAAAGGGCCAGAACAAGGCTTAATTAAAAACCGAGTCATTGCGTCTGTGGGTATCCACGTTGATGCTTATACCGAGAACAGAGGAGCAAAATGCATCGTGGAGATTACTGATGAAATGTATTGCTACTTTGGGCACCCACAGTCCCACAGATGATATCCATAACTCTTTTTGGCCTATATTCAAACTGGGCTTCTTTCGAGCCTCTGGTTTTTGGCATTGCAAGTCTCTATCTGTTCGCTTTGAGCCGGAAGATGTCACATTCTGTTATGTTGTGAGAACAAAACTATGGTATATCTCTGGTTCTTTCGAAATGCTTTTTATCAAAGTACCGTGTGATACTTCTTGTTTCGCGATAATGCTTTCACTGAACACTGGACAATGTCGATCATGAGCAGTGAGATATATCGATATTCCAGGGGGTCGGTATCAACCAGAATTTAATAGCGGTGGTATTTTAGTGCAGTCTCTTCGAGCACTGGTTGCAAAACCCCCTAGACATTCCGTGAAGCGGTTCTTGATTATCTTCTTGAACTCGTTGGAGACTACCTCCATTGGAATAATGAACGGGCTTTACGGCGATAGGTGCCGAATCAGATGCCCGAATACAGGATTGGTCTAGGCTAGGCTAGACCTCTCACAATTCATTTGAACGTTGTTTTCAAAAATACGTTGTGTAACATTCCTAATCCAGAATTTTCCTAAGAGAAATATATGCCAAAGCACCAACAGATAAGTTCCCTGCATGATAGAAGTGTTCAAACACACACGCACTGCCACCATTGGGATAATCCCTTCGACGAATTTTACTCCTATTCCTGGCCTATGCACATACGTGGACAGACAATTTTCACTTGAGATCTGTTCCGCCCCGTGGTCTTTATCGCCCGTGTCAAGCTGTCAAGTACGGGTTATCTCCCAAACTCGGTCTTTCAGCCAGTATCCAACACAACCTTTTCTGATCGGTTGAAGAGTACCGACTGGCTGTTGGGATATTCCCTTGCACTAATCAGAGAACGAATCGATACCAAGACTAAAAACATGAACGAAAGCTTAAAACGCTTGAACAAAGGACAATTGATCACAGAAAATATAATGGATGCTTCTTATGTGATTGAATGCAAGCCTAGTTGCCCTTTTAGCGGTATTGAGACTAAACTGGCTCCAATTCCAAGTATGAAGTGGATACAATTAAGGAACAAGAGCAAGTAAATTGCAGAATCCCAAAAGCGAGATGAAACTCCGCGGCTATCAGGAAGTTTTTACTACCCCTTCCACAAAAATAAATCGTACGATTATTCGCCACCATTGTGGTTTCTATAGTAAACGTTCTTATTTGTGTCTGTGTTACTTGTGTTATCTCCGGCGCTCGTGATTACTTTGGTAACAGATACGATCGGATTCCGGTGATAATCAAGCATTCGCTATTGCGTTTTCTATCAACGTCCATATCGGTCACTAATCTCAGTTCCCCTATGGCCACCTCCGACCAGAAGTAAGCGACCGGTTTCTCGTGCGCTCGGTCTACTTCTGGTTACTAAAGTGAAAACAAAACTAGCCAATTTTCCCACAGAGATTGGCTCAGGGTCTACCCGCGGTGGATAAATCGAGTCCATTTACCCCGAAAATTTTCATTTATCTAGCGTAAGCATACGCAACATGTAGCAAAAATACACTTACAATTCGTATGTCCGGTGTTGGCAGTCTTGTTACTGGTGATCATGTTTTTGTATTACATGTAGGGAGGGGTCTTTAGGGGATTTCAAGTCTCGTCAATCAGTTGTTTCATTTTCACGTATCCGGAAAGTGTACTCCTGACGCAGGCATTCCGTCTTTTTATTTGCACATAGATCAGCACAACTGAGCTGCAGGGATAGAGCACACGGGTGAGCATGATCGTGCGCGCAAATACAGCGCAGCGCAGCGTGACACAGATTCCGTTCATTTGCGAGTTGGTGTCACCTTCGGTGTCATCACCGTCTGACTTAGTCAATAGTACCTTACTCTTTTCGCACAAACCATGTGTAAACGTTCACGAAATCGACTGTTGAACATGGAATAGATAAATACATTGATTGCATTGTTCACATAGTAGAATTCGTGGTGTACAACCATGCCCGAATGTCCTTGAGCAGAATGCGAGCTGGGATCGCTATCCTCCAACCACCATTTCAAATGAACCCAAAGCAACGGGAGCAGAGTTGCGTAGAATACAACTGTTGAAGTGAACAACATTAGCCCGGTTCGACGACTTCGAAGAAATGGACTTTTTGCTCGAGGATACCGCAAACCAGCTGGAACTGGATTGGGCCTTGTCAGTGCCTGCACGGTATCGGTCAGGCCCTCTTCGCGTGGTCGAAAACAGTTCACTGTGGATGTTGATCGAGTACTCGTGGTCGGATCAATCACCACGGGTGGATCTAATCGACTCGGGGAACCGGTAGCAAAACTTACGTATTTGTAAACCCGAGCCATTTCGAACGGAGTTTGTGTTTCAATGGCCGTATCTCTGGTTTCCAGTTCAAGGTTAGATGATGGAATAAATGGGGATGTGGCGATCACTGATCGAGTGGCATTGGCTGTCATATTCGGGCGACTGGTTCGCGATTCACTCATCGCTGAGGGTTTGGACGACCAGTTGTTTTTCCGCATGTCTGTTTGACGTACAGTAATAAATATGCATAAATACAAATAACAAATTAAAACAAATGAAAATAAAGTAAGCATGATATAACTTTTATCAGTGTACTCGCGTAAACTGTTCGATAGCCGACAGGCACCGAGACGGAGGCGTAACATAATAATAACCAATTCCAAAGCCAGTACACTTAAACAAAGCGCCAGGATCAAACTCCATATGAAAGTTTGCTTCGAACATACAGTACCACGGGAACAAGTCATATGACATCCACACCGGTCACCGGAACTACAACAGCATCGTCTGTTTATACTTGGAGTAGACCAACGAAAATTGCCCGATGCTTGTGTTGTGCTCATCTGATCCGCGTCTAATTTGGACACCTCGGACGGTGCGAAACTCTCCTCATTCCAATATTGATCGGTGTTGGACAACTGGGAATTATTTTCTGTTTCCACACCCGGATTCTGTCCATGTTTTCTATATCTATCGCACAAGTGTGTGCATGGAGTACAGTGAGTGATTGAAACACATTCTTTCCATATAGATCGAACACTTCCAACGACAGTTAAATAACGTTCCACGGCGATAGCGGCTAGAATACTTCCTTCGCAAGCAAATGCAACATTACGTAATAGTCTGAGAATCTCTGTGAGTGCATCATTGGACCAAATAAAAGCAAGCACATCGGCAAATGAGGCGGTGGTTTGATTCCAGTTGGTGAACTCGATCGGCGCATACTCATCAGATTGATTCATGCGTGAAGCAGTGCCCACAGCAAATCGAACGGAGCGTAATATATCCCAGGGAAGAATCAACAGACAAGTGACCAAATCAACCACAGCCAATAGGAGAATCAGACGTGTTTGTAGGGAATTGGATGTACGTCGATGATGCAGGGATTTGAATGATATAGGTGAATCACATATGATCGGTACTGATGTCTGATTATTCAATACGGGAGTTTCACCGGTTGGCTGAGCATTATTAGTTTGACCGTTGGGTGGAGTAATCACTATGAATGGGCGAATAAATGATCTGGTAGGACGTACACAATAAACCACAATCACGAGAATATTTCCGATTGCACCAAGAACACACAACAAACTCATCACGGTGAAAGAGAAAATTGCCGCCACATCGGACATTTCCTCTTTTTCATAAACTTCACACAATTTTGAAGCTGCATGTTTGAACATGATACGGGCTGGCGTGTGTGCCTGTGCGAAATCACTTTCCTGTAAACCTTGAAAATAGGATCGAATGTGATACGTAAACCGGTGTGAGTTAACTTGGAATCAACCTGGGATAAGTGTTTGGACCACACATGTCAGCAGTTCCCCATTGGACAAAACATTCAGGTCATTCAGCTTAAAGGGGACAATCTGATTGGTTATTTATTTATGATACTAGACCAATCAGAGAGCTGCAGAGATCTACTCTGGCGCGTGCAGTCCAAAGCCTGTCTGACAAACTTGACCAACTAGTATTCATGGGAAAAATAGAATTGGTTTTTGTTTGGCTTGCATCATGTAGGGAACATACTTTTTCAATGCTATTCTATAAAGTCACAAAGTAACACTCGAGAACAGATGAGCAATGTTGGGCAGCTATTTTTCAAGCATGATGTCACTGGAAAACCGGCTTTGAAGTATTGTGTGTATCATCTTACTGGTGCAAACCTGTGTGAATTTCGTTGAACAGACAGACAAGCGTAATTTTCTGGTAATACTCACTAACTGATTGATATACGCATCTCGGAATACTATATTCATCCTAATACATTTTAGCTTCCTTCATCTTGTGTGCTTATATTTGATCTCGGTTAGCGGAGTTGATATTCCAAATGTCCAACGGGTGATTTAACACAATCCAAACAAGTCAAATACACACACATTGAGGATTAAAACAAAGGTTGCTCTCAGTTTCATTCTAATTTAAGTGAAAACGGAAATACATGAGTCGAATTGGCCATTCTTCCGAATTCCTTTTCATGCATCGCACTCTGCTTATTCAGTTGGCCAACCATGCACCAGAATGGGGTTTCGCTCTTATTCGACCTCATCACTGAAGCATGTGCATCGATTTGATCGGGATTTGAACATCAAACGACGTGTACGGAACGCGTTTGTCTTAGTATTGAGCCAGCAAAATCTATGATGTGGATAACTGTGGACATAAATTCACTGAATCTGGACATTAAAAAAACACGTTAGCTAACAAAGACTTTGGAGAAATTCGATCTGGGATTAATGTAAATGCAGATAGTTATTACTTCTAATCAGCTTCAAGATTGCACGTAATTTATATGATTGAATGATTGTGCGGTTAATAGGTTTGGTGTACAAAACAAGAAGCACAATTTTTGTTGTTGTTGGACCTGATGCTTAGAGAGTGGTGGGGGCGCTCCAGTTCAAATGTGCGGTTCTCTGGTTCCCAATAAATTTCAACTTTGTTTCTAATCACCTGTATCAAGTTTGATTACGGGTAAAGAAAGTAACCCAACAAATCACATGGGAGAATCAAGGAGTAAACTGAGTAGACAAATCAGTACAGCAGACACAGACACGTGGTTTCCAATGGGTACGGAAATCACTCTCCACGGGTGCTTATTAGTCGGGTGAGTCGCTTATGCCAGATGAGCAACCAATACAAATGCAATGCTGTTCTACTTTAAGAAACACTGAACCGGTCCGGTTGGCCCCGTATCATCGTTGCGATACTTACCTGGTCTTTATGCCTGCCTAAACTCGGCAGGGCATGTGGTAATGATCATAGATGAGATGGAACAAAAGCGAGGTCACATTAGGATGTACGGAAATTCTCCATTACTATGTGTACCTGGCTTGCAGCACAAAAACTAAGATCAGTAACTGTGTACATAAATCTTTTCGTCCCGTATGTTGCGGATCACAGTTCCATTCCTTCTCCATCACAGTCGTCAACATCTCTAGAGATTTATATTGTTGCATTGGACTAACTATTCGGCGTCCGACCTGTTCCCTCTTGAACGTAAGATTGAATTTCGATTGAGCAGTCAAAGTGCCGGGTAGCCTAGGGCGTGACTCAGTACCGTGATGCGCGCATGTGTGTATGTGTATGTGATCAGGCACACGATGATCCTGCAAAACAAACAACCCTGGTAGTAGTAGTAGTAGTAGTAGTAGAAGTTGTTGTTGTTGTTGTTGTTGTTGTTGTTGTTGTTGTTGTTGTTGTTGTTCTAGTTACACTCAGTACCAGCAAGACAGCCGTCGGAAAACTTTGATTAGTCTCAGAAATATTGTTAAACTCGTCTTCGGCAATCGTGTAATTCATCAGATCCGAACGAATGCGGATTAGAAAATTCAACTATGATTCACTGAAACTTTAACTCCGTTGAAATGGTATCGCACGTCCGGTCACATATGCACTCTCCTAAATTGTCTGGGCGAGGGAACTTGACCGCAATGTGTTTTGACTTCCAGCTCCTCGTGAAAAACAACTGTCACAAATGTCATTTGTTGCAAGATGGACTTGGCGAACGGTGACAAAGACCATCAGATTTGATTATTCGGGATACATGCGAGAAATTCACGTGTATCTATCCGCTTAAGCCAAAATCGGTTGCTTCAACAATAAAAAATACACGATCGTTTGATTGCTATCAAGGCCGGTACAAAGAAAAACAAATGACTGTTTTCCGCCTTAATTCTGGGGAGAGCACAGACAAAGGCACTTTGTATGGTTAAAACTCACCTCTGTATGAACCTTTCATAACATATTCCACAGCCCCACCACATTAATGATATCCGTGCTGAATTTCACAAACGATCTTGTTGTGCACTCTCCCGCTGAAATCTGGGAGTCCACTTTAGTGCACCATTTGATATAGATTAACAGGTATACAGATAGATTTATCTATAGTCAGCTTTCCTTACTTAACTAATAAGCCAAACAGGAAAGCGTTGATCTACCCTAAAAAAATGGTTTATCGTCGAGATCGGTTTATCTAGGCTAAAAGAAACATATCTCATTCGGTCACCGAAATCCGAACACTCGTTATTGGCTATAACAAATGCTTCAAACATCGTCTATCACTTTCGATTCATATATCGATTTACTGTACTGTACTCACACAAAACCTCTTGGCTTCTGCAAGCGGAATGCTGATCAATGTAATCCGGACATTTGATATCAGTTATTCAAAGTAGGGTGGTTTTTGAGGGCAAAAACAACAGGCTTCAGTCACTTCCCGAAAAATAATATAAGGTACGGGGTCCTGTTAGGGAATCTGGGAGACGAGGACAAAGGTCGTCCTCTGCCGATCTATTTTCGCGGAACTGTTCTGTCATGTCGACATCTCCACTATGGTCACTGGCTTCTTCGTAAGTACGTATTTTCGTTTCTGATCCGACCGGATGGCAGAAAACGCGTTTTGAAATTTTCAACGGTTGACTTCCGCTTCAGTGGACTGATTTCCCCGCATACGCACTGGCTGTACAGAGCTGATGCGTTCGCCCGGAACAAGAACGCTTTGCCATGGTCTGTTCAATCCATGTTGCGTGTGTGTTTGAGTAGTTCTTCGCCATTGGATATGGTTTCACTTGAAAAAAGTGCAAATGAACCACAGTTCAAAATTCCCATTCACCATTGTTTCCGATTTGCTGAATCACATGGTACAATTTGGTCGGGGGAATGGGCGAGTTACACGTAAGGTTCGGTTGCTATACCGTTGATGACAGCCAGCCCATTCACCCAAGTTCACCCCAAAACCTCCAACCTCTCCGACTGAACAAATATTGTTATTCCAATAGACCCATGATTCTCGTACATAGCTCGGATTGCCCCGTAAGCCAAAAACTCGTCCCTGGTCATAGGTACTGTGGTCAGCTTTGATTACTGAGCTATCGTCAGTGTTAGAGCAACTATGAGCAAATGTACTTTAGCTGTAGTGGGCACGACACGGTGGGTCATCCTTCGTGCATATCGAGTGGCGTCCCACTTGGTTGTCACAACCATGGCTTCATCGACTCACCGACTCGACGTCCGTCACAGAGCTC